GGTATCATATTTTTTCGCAAAACTAGCAGCTTAGCACCTTGGAGCAAGTATGTGAGATAGGAAAATGTATACATAACTTCAACTTCAGAGGGGATGCAAAATGTTATATCCCAGCCATGGATATCGACATACATGTAGCTAAAGTCAATTGATACATTGTGTATTATATCACTGACAAATTCATACTAAGATATAGATTTCAATCCTTTCACAGTAATAATACAAATATATTATAGGAACTAAAAAATTATTGGACAGAAAGGAATGCTTTGACAGATATGTGAAGGTAAATAATAATTTATGTTGATACGTTTGTGAATCTTTTGACCAACGTATTTGAGATTAATTGGTATGAAATGGGTAATCAAACAACTATGAAATGGGCCCCCTGTCTTGGTAATTATGTAATACTCTACCTGTTCACAGCATGATCTAGTTGATCAACGCATTGAAAGGTATGATATGACAGCATTTTTTTTTTTTTGACAGACATCCAAATCTCTGAATAAAAATGAAAAGTACAAAATTCAAACAAACTTTTAAACATTTTATTTGCCTGTCATCTCTCTACATTATGTGGCTTTAAAAAGCTGAGAACAATCAATTTGAAGTGCCATGCAATTGATGCTATGAGCGATACATGTGTACAACGACAAATGCATTTAGACACTGGTGGGGGATGTGGGAATTACTTTTTCAACCTATACACATGTAGGAATGTTTCTCTTTTTGGGGGCCTTGTGGAAGTTATAGGAGGTAAATAGTATGATCCGTATGAGATGTGATTGAAGACGACTGCTATTAAAGATGGACACGGAATAGAGGATGGATGATGAATTAGAAGAATAGAGGGTGTGGAACGTAAGGTGATGATGAAGATGGGTTGGAGACGTTACCTAAGAAGGAGAGAAAGAGAGAGATTGGTAATTGGTGGAGGGGGGGGGGGAGGGGGAGAGGAGAGTGTGTGCCAGTTGTACTTTTCGTAATCTGAAGAAACAGAATCAAGATTAAATGAAATCTATGGAGTTGCATTGTGCAGCCAGTGCCAATGAGGGAAGCGATCGATCAATGCTATGTTTGTTCACGTCGGAGCCACCTGTAGGTCCCAGCGAGAGAGGAACCCGGGAAAGACACCCCCTCTGTGGGAGCAACCACCAGAGGGACCAGCAGCATTCTTGGGGTCTTAAACGCGCACCTGCTGCGATCGGGAAATCAATTGATCATCCCTCCCCGTTCAGTCACATCCCGCCAAAAATCCTGACGGAGAAAAATTAGCCCAACACATTGGCGTTTATGGTTGGCATGTACGATCGTGCCCCCCTGCAAAGAGACCTCTCACCAGCATGTGTCCAACTTCTCTCTCGGATCGCAGAAGTGCTCAACACGGCAATTTTTCAAATTTGTACACGTCAGGGGATTACGAGCGAAGCAGAGAGAAATGGAACTCTTTGAGCTGACAGCTCCATCAGCAATCAAAGGTGATTGATCAATCACATTAACGTGTTTCTTTCCTTCTCCATCGAGGTGAAACATGCATACACTGATCCACACAAACATTGGAAATGGATTTACATTATAGTCAAAAGGAGTAAATGTGCTTGCAAGGCCTTTGCTCTTAGTGCCATACTTTCCCCGGTTGCAATACATCTAAATGTTTGTGTTTGATACTTTAAAGCTATGTTTCTGTAGATATACACGACACAAACATTTGAAATGGATTTACATTATAGTCAAAAGGAGTAAATGTGCTTGCAAGGCCTTTGCTCTTAGTGCCATACTTTCCCCGGTTGCAATACATCTAAATGTTTGTGTTTGATACTTTAAAGCTATGTTTCTGTAGATATACACAACACAAACATTTGAAATGGATCTACATTATAGGCTAAAGGAGGAAATGTGCTTGCAAGGCCTTTGCTCTTAGTGTCTTACTTTCCCCAGTTGCAATACATCTAAATGTTTGTGTTTGATACTTTAAAGCTATGTTTCTGTAGATATAAATGCATAAATTTGGTAAAATTAAAATTCATGATATATATATCTATATTTCATGTTGATCATTGAATATTGGAATTGGAAACTGGAAACTGTGGACCAGTCACTCAAGGGTAGGGTGTAGCCTTTTACCCTGTATTTTGCTGAAGAGAGGCAAAAATTGTTTGGTCGATTTTCTTTTTATGATTTACAGACTTTAAAGAATTGAATTGAATTGTATTTGTTTAGAAAACACCTAATATGCCTTGTTCATAAACAAGTTTTCTGTTATAGCTAGACATAGCGTGACTCTCTTCACTCTTTAGTCTCCTAAAGTACAGTTGATTGACAAGGATTTGGTTTGAACAAAGACAAAAAAAAATGTTCTTGGAATTTAGCCAGTCACATCAGCTCAATAAATGTTTACTGAAATCATGTACTACATGGCGGATGAGGTCATTAATATTCATCACAAGTTGATACAAATAGAAAGCAATTTGTCACTTTTGCCAGAAAACATCTCCACCCTTCCCATTCCTCCCACACTTAATTAGACACCCTAATACCCCCTCCAAAATCATCTGTTCCTCATCCATTTGACATCGAAATGTTTGTTGGTGTGACTTTTACGAGGTAATTTGTTAAGGATGATACAAGGAAGGGCTTACATCCTATCCAGGGTTTGGTTGCCCGAGCAGAGCCTGAAACAAGTCTAGCTATCTCTTCTGGACGAACATTTGTTCCCTAAGTAGTTTCGACAGCCTACAAATGAGGCAAAAGTGCTTGTATCCCTTAGACTTTGGTCCGTGGGTTGTGATGTTGTGCCCAGCAGCGATCGCTTGGTAAGCCTGTACCTACGTTCACACTGTTGAAAGTGAAACGTAGTTTGTAAAAAAAAGAACTAGAAACAATCAACAATGTTTCAAAACTTTGTCTAATCAAAGCAAGTTTGAATAAGGTAAAAAGTAGTTTGTATGAACAGCAAACTCCATCTTCATGGTGTCAGAATAAGATTTCTGTTTTAGCGCAATATAGCTTTCCTCTGGAGAAACATTCTTATCAAGTAATTAAGGCGTTGCTAGTCAAGTTATGGCCCAAATTGTAGCATACTAATGCAGGTGCTATGATTTAAAAGTTTCATTTCTCTGAGTTTTCTCTGAGTTTTAAAGAACTTACGACAGTCAGGGAACTGTTGCTCTTGATGACCCAATGACCTTGCAGATACATCGATAACTTTTATATAGATAATAGATTTCATCCATATGTATTCTACCATTCATGATTTGTGAATTGAAGTATCCATTGTCAGTTGTTCTTTGAAGGACCATGAAGCAATGCTCTGCAATGTATTGTAATTTGTATGAAATTGTCTATATGATGAGACAATACATTGTACATGTAGGTGTGATGAACTTAGGTTACTTTTCTCAAAAGTTAGGAACATAAATGTTGGAGATAGATGAGTAAATAGATGTCAGTACATTTTGTTGCTTTTATTGCTTGGACTGATATCACTTGCTTCCTAACCCAAGAGACTGATCAGAAATAGGGCTAGTGATCTTGTTATTCTTCAGACAAGTCTCCAGTCTGAACACACCGGAACAGTGATAGCAATCCCAAGCCGATCTGCGACAAGTGTCAAAGGATTTGTCACACTAAAAGACAGTTCCTTTTGGACTCCACCCTATGGACGTAAGCGCCCTGTTAGCCTTCTTGCTTGGACAAGCCGTTGCCGGAATGGAAGGGAAAATGGAAAGTGACGGGCCCGGAGGGAAAGAGAGCATCAGTTTTACATGTGTAACGTTTGTCTTGAAGATTAGTGGAACAGGATATTCCATATTTGATCTAATCGATGGTTGCAGACTGTACAATCCGTTCATTTTGCTAATTTTCACGACGAGACTGCGAGGGCGGGCAGTGCATGTATTTTGTATCAAATGTTGGCTATTTGTATGTTTTCCTAGGAAATTTCACTCTAAAATCACAAAAAAAAAATTCAAAATCGGGGGTGCGTCTTGTACACAGGTGCGTCTTATACATAGAGATTTACGGTATATGATATTTGGTACAGAACAGAACAAAAAGATACATGTATGTACATTTATGCACTATGGATTTTGAAAGGTAATATTTTAGGAATTGTAAATAGAACAAATTGTCACATTAATTTAGAAAAAGTAATGATTTCATTTGATAATAATCTTTTGTTTCTTGTTGACTTAATCGTTTTATCAATGTTATTGAAAAGTCATTCCATGTCGACAAAAAATTCATGAAGAAAAGAATATGCTGGTAAGGGTTGGACAGAAATGCTTATGACAACATTTCTTGCCCCCAGCATATAACATCCACAATGCAAATTGTAAAGCAGTTTTCTACCTCATTTTCACAACATGACTAAACTTGGGACTACTCAAACTTGTGAGCATTAATCTCCCTCCAGCTAAGATTAGACATGGTTTAGTGATGGGATTAGAGTCTTGAAGGGAGAGAAGAGCATTCTTGCCCAGTATTGGTCCTCATGGATTCCCCCTTTACGCCAGTCATCACTACCACTACCACCACAGCTTTCTGACCGGGATCCAAACCGCAATGGGAACAGCTGCTGGGTTGCTATTTAGGGAAACCTGATTGAGCAAGGAACTTCAAAGTCATCATACCATTTTCCATTTTCCACCTTTAATTTAATAATCATATCTGAAGTCATTCACCAATAGATTCTGAGTACAGGGATTAGGGTATACATTCTTGGCATTACTGGTTGGATTGGGATTTTTGAATCTCTATTTCCGTTGATATGTGTTTGGTTTGCAGAAAATGTATTTCATCATATTAAATTAAGATATTGATTAGTTTGGACCTTTATATTCTGGACTTCTTGTAGTGACAAGTCTCAAAGGAATCTAGTTTAACCAATTAACTAACTAGTGTATGAGTTAAACAAACTATCAGACTAAAAAGTTCTCTTCATCAGCTGAACATTAATCAGGTATATTACTTGTTCTTTTCTGATTATATTTTCCTTACAGGGTGAGAAGTTCTTGGTCCTGAAGAACGAGTTCTTCTACCGGGAGTGGATAGAACCCAAACATGTCATCATCAGGTCTGCGCAGTCACAGGCCCCCAAACCGTCATGGCCGCCACCAGCCCCGGAACAACCCATGGAAACAGAACCCGTAGCCCCCGCCAGACGGAAAAAGAAGTCCCGCGATCACAGCTCTGCACATCAGAATGAATCCTCTGGGAATGGTAGGAGTAGCCCGAAGCCTAAGGGTGGAACTAGTCCTAGGCCTACTATCTCAGCACCTATCTATACAGGACCAGTGGACCAACACTCTGTAGTTAATGTGAGTATTGTACTGGCTATAATTAGGACTTGACACTGCAATTTTGTTCAGCAAGGTCTGAGGGCCGATCCTCGTCTGTATGGGGACGACGAGCCCAAGTTCATACATTTAATCCAGTAAGAGGTATAAAAGGATCCTCTTATTCTTGTCAGTGTTCTTGAAATGTCCTTAAATGTAGTTTGGGTGGATCATCCTACCAGTGTGAAGGGTACTAGTTTGAAGACAGAATGACACCCATACTTGTCTGGTCTAGCTACAATATGGTATAGTATTTATTTTTTCAACATCACTTTATCGTTCAAACTTGCACAACAAAGGAGAAGGTACAATAGCCCAGGACAATTCCATTTTACTGGAAAAATGCAGGGCATTAAAAGTACATATCATGTTATATAACAACAACAAACAAACAAATTAACTAATTTTACAATATAGTATAGTACAGTACATATTCATCTTTGACTCAAATTGGCTGGATAATTTCTTAGTAGGAGCTTTTGTTCATGTGTAAAAAGACTGTGAAGACGGATGGTAAGAATGGGAAAGAATTATGGGAAGAGGACTCTGAAGAAGTGTAAGGCAAGATAGAATAAATTAGAGGGAAAGAGAGAAGGAAACAAACTGCTAAAGAAGCCAATTAAAAAAGCAAATACATTGTATCGTTTAACTTTAAGTTATCTGGACCAATCTCAATTACTGATTAAGTCCTTTGCATTTCTGAAAGACAGATTTGTGAGAAAGTAGAGGAGGGATGAATAAACCCTTGATAGCTGTTCCTTTTAATTTGTATTCATGTGCAATCAAAAGTTTGAATATAGGCACAGCAGATAAACAAATTATCAGTGCAGTGAGAGAGAGGGAGAGGGGGAAGAGAGAGAGAGAGAGAGAAAGAGAGAGAGAGAGAAAGAGATTTGGATAAAAAGGGGGTACATTATAATTGACAGACTCATTATAGGATGAAAGATAATCCTAATTAGATGTTCATTCACCTGCAGTGCCTTTATTACTTGATTGTTTTTGTTCGCACATCCTGGCACACACAGGGCTAGCCATGCAAAAACCATGACAACCAGCATCCGACGATTCAAGCTGCCCACTTTGTCCTCCTTTTGACTTCTATTCTGCTTGTAATTATGGATGAAAGGGTTGATTATACCAGCTTAGATAATTGTGGTGTACTCTGACAATGCCAGACTAAAAAAAGGACTTTTCATTTCTTTCAAAACAGGAATAAATGATTGTGTATTTCTGCTGTGATTTCATAGACTATTAATCTCTCTGTGGTCAATATGACCAAATGGAGCAGAACAAGATGTACTCCGAGAGCTGTTCAGTTCACACATGCGCATCAACCGAATTGTTTACAGACATTACATTACAGGAAAGCTGTGTATTAATTGAATATTGGGGAAAAAACAGATGAGCAGTCAGTAAATGTGAGTCTGTTGCTACCAGCTGTCATTAGTATAATATTTGGACATCGCATTGAAACGCGTGTTAAATTTCTTCATGTGTTCCAATGGAATTTGGGCTTGCAAAGAGTCCCTTTATGCAACACACTAGAAAGTAGTGTAAATGAACTAGTCTGAATATACAATGTAATGTACATGTATATATAGTATCTTGTCTAAACAAGATCGAAAGACATTATTTATACTGTTATTTCTTTAGTGAATTGTATAAGTCAAGATATGTCTGTCTAAGCCATCCCGCTATACGGATTTATCAACAGTAGACATATAACTCTTAAGTGTGAGTGTACTCCATAATCCCCATTCCATATCTATCATATCCATCTATAAATACAATACTGACTAAATTATCTGTACATTGAGAGATGTAAAAAAAATGCATTACAAGCAGCGCTTTGCAGTAAAGAACTGATTGCAGGGCCCTCAAGGAGAACAGTATGAATACTGATGAGGCTACCCTGGGTATACAAGACATATTATTATTATTATTATTATTAAGAACAAATACCCATATCCAGGAACTTTTGAGATGGTTTAATTGGCATGATGTGAACGGACCTCCCCATAGGATAAATGAGGTGGAGAGAATCCTCAATGGAATCGAAATAAGGAATTAAATACCTGCTTAATCACGCGTCCCTTCCTGCTCCCATTAGTGCAAGCAATTATCCTCTCAGTCTCAATAGATGGAAACGGAGCCAGGCGATCGAGAGAAACGATCTCTTTTCGTTCTTTTGTTTCGACCCAATATCGGTGGCCCTGTTTATCGAAATTCATTCTTTCTCACCCGGCTATAAAGATTGATGCCTGAATTAGAGCTTAGAATTCTTCAAAAAGTAGTTATTTGTTTTTCTTTCACAGTTTGTGAGGAAGAACTATGCAATTAGGTCATATCTTACATGATATCCCAATATGAGTGGTCCTGTTTATCAAAATGTATTATTTCACACCAGGCTATAAGATTGATGCCTGAATTAGAGCTTAGTATTCTTCAAAAAGTAGTTATTTGTTTTTCTTTCACAGTTTGTGAGGAAGAACTATGCAATTAGGTCATATCCTACATGCCCATATACATGTACATCACAATATGAACCGCTGATTATTAACATGTTGGATGAAAGGTTTAACGTCATATGCTTTGCATTATTAACCCTAAGGGTAGAGGGCAGAAGATAACTGCTATCAATCACAATTTTGTACATTAGCTTTTTGTCTGCTTCATATTCAGTAATGATAATGTTTTTTTACCCCCACAAAATACATATATCTTCAAATATGGAATTATGAGTATAATTGATATATTTGTGTTGTTGTTGTGGAATCAGTCTTGGTTTCGAGTAGCCTGTAAAACTTTTTGTTGCAAATATATACAAAATTATGGGAGGAAATTATAATTTTGTATTTTTACAAGTAATATAGATATAAGACACAATGTAAAGGAAAACAATTCTAGATTGATTTGTTTTTCTGGCATTGGTCTCTAATCCCTATAGGAGGGCACAAATATTAGTCCATAAGGATGCATTTGTAGAAGCTTAGTGTTTGGATCAAAAGGTCTTGGGCCCAGAAGGTCTTTGGTTATAACTTATAATTCAATGTAGTATGCAAATATCCTTGCATTAAGGATTTGATTCTTAGTTAATCATTCTCTCTGTGTGGCAAATGGTTGAGGGTCCCTGGGCTGCTTACCAAAAACAAGAATGTGCTTACTTTAAAAGAAGGGAGATGAAAGATAAATGGATGAATACAACATCAAAAGTATCAAATAATTAATTTGACATTTGTGTTACTTTTAAGTAAATGGGTACCTGGCAGGAATTAATTCCTTGAAATGCTGGAGCGCTGTATAAACGGCAGCTAGGCTAAAGCCGGGGTAATAATAAATGCGCCTCGGAATAGAATTATCAAGATAGACGGCGCTATAGAAATGCCTATTATTATTATTATTATCATTACATTACAGTCAAGAATTGTATGCATAACACCTAACGAACATCACATTTTTAGTATCATGTGCTGTATTGAATTAGTGATGACTTTTTGAGGAGGTCATGGTCAAATTGCTTTTGCAATGTTTCTTTCTAGGGCTGCTTTGAATTTCACTCCTTTTTTGTTGTTTTCCTTTTCTTTACCTTTTCAGACTAGAGCCGGAGAGAAAATGACCGAAGAACTAAGTCAGATTGAGGGAGTGAGAGATGCCAGGGATAAATTTGAGCAGGAGTCCAGGCTACAGACACCTACTCCTCCTAAATCCTCCTCCTCACCCTCCTCGGCCTCCGCCACCACCACCACCACCCCTGCCACCACTGCCACTTCTGCAACGGGTGATGCCGAGGCAGCTCCTCAGCCTGATGATATACCTCCGGCTCCGGTAGAGATACAGGTCTGTTTTATAGAACAGCGGTACTCCCATAGTCTGGGGGGTGTTTCACAAAGCCTTTTTTTTAATGAAAAATGACAAAAATCAGTGACAACTCTGCTGATAACCAATCAGAAGCAAGAATTTCACTAGCTTTAACAAAAACTGTCATTTGTCACTGATGACAAGTTTTGTGAAACACCCCCCTCGTTCATGAATGACTTGGTTCTCTGAGAATCAAATTATACTGATACTGAACTTTCAAGACTATAGTGTAGTTGTCTGTTTTTGTTGTTGGTTTGTTAGTTGGTATTGTACGACAGGAAAGATTCTTGGTCAGTGGAAACCAGAACATATGAATTGCATTGGGTATGTTTTTCATAAGACGTGTAATCAACAGTGTCCTCACTTTGGAAATTGTCTTTTTTGACATATGAAATTAGCTCCTGCAATGCAGTATGTACTGTCAAGAAATTCCTATGATCTTATGAAAATTAAGTAAACTACTTTAATTCCCCTATTTGTGCTTGGAGGTGGCGGCATTGCGCATAGTTCAAGTCCACACGATATGTCTGTAACAGCCTTTCTAACAATCCAAGTAGCATTATACCAAATTTGAGGGTTAAAACATTTCGATTTGACAATCCTAAAATAAGATCCCAATCCATTATCCTACAGATAACCGATGAAGATAAGAAAGAAGAAGAAGAGCACATCGGTATGGAGAGCAGTGAGAGAATGGAGCAAGAACCTTCCAAAGAGCCGACACCCCCTCCTCCTTCCATGCCACCCGCTCCCTCCATCTCACAAGCCGTCTCAGAAATGCAGGTAAGGATACCTTGGACAATCACAAGAAATATCTGCAGCTAGCTTCTAAAAATTTAAAAAAAAATCAGCAATGATAACTCTTGCACCTTTCTGAAAGCGCCAACTAACCCTGAGTGTATGCAAAGGTATGCTCTGAAGTTGAAGGTGATGTCTAGTTTAGAGATGCAACCCAGTTTGTCTTTGAAAAATAGAAATTGTCAAAGATAATTCTTGCAACTTTCTTAAAGCGCTAACTAACACTGAGAGTGCATGCAAAGATATGCTGTGATGTTGATGGTGATATATAGCTTAGAAATAAAACTCAATTTTGGGAGCTTTCTTTCAAAACATACTAAAAATAATTGGTTTTTCTAGACTGACATGTGGCTTTGAGTTGATTGCATTTTAATGTTAAGATAACCGATCAAAAAAACTTGAGATAATAATAATAATATTCCACTTTTATATAGCGCTTTTACATCTACGATGTCTCTAAGCGCTTTACAGATATACTATTACCCCGGTCATTGGATTCAACACTTGCCCGCACACACAGATTAGGATGTATTTTTAATCTGCTACATTATTCTTTTATCCTCCTTATTGCAAATTCAGAAACTATTTGAATTTGTATTTTCCCACCATACCTAATCTTTTGCAGTCTTTAATACAACCTTCATGAATGTTATCCCTCCAAACAGGATGATGAATGATTGTAATCAAAAAGGATTTAAAATCAGCAAAAAAACATGCGATATTATGTGATAGGTGGATTAACTCTGTTTACATTTAAATCTAATTCAGAATATCTCTTTCTACGCTAGATATCACCACACAACAATTTTTATATAAAACATTAAAGGTACTATGTCCCATTTGCAGGCCCAAAAAATGAAAAAGTTAAATTCCAACTGCATTTGAAAGATAATACTAAGTTAGAACTTCCCTAAAAAAGGTGGGGCTTGAAAATGTCTTCAAGTGGGAAAATAATGACTATTAGTTGTCAAATCGACTTTAGGGCTATAGAGCCCAAAAGTAATAGTCTTGATTTTCAGACAATTGTACCGAATGGTCATACGTTTTATGCTGCGCAAAGATTCAATCAGTTTAATCTTGGCCATCACAAGAAGTGGGTTATTGATGTAGACAAATGCTCATGTACCCTTTACAACTCTTTTCATGTATGTTATTACCAAAGAAGAAGAAAAGCCAAGTCAGTCACTCAATAGTGTCTGACAGTGAAGTCTAGCAAGTAAACGGGTTTCCTTGCATAATTTGAATATGAGGACACTGCTAACGTTTAAATTTCACAGATAGGACATACATGACATATTCATAATTCCTGCAAAGTTCTACAGAATTTGAGGTTAGCTGCAAAAGGGACATAGTACCTTTAAGGCAGAACACTTGGCTCAGTTTGAATGTGATGATGAATTTGCTTGTGACTTTTTAAGTCCTGTTCTTACCTTTCTTTTTCTTTCAAAGAGGAATTATCATTCAGCTAGCATGTAAGCTTGAAGTTAATGATATCTACCTCCCAGATTCATAATTTCTTTGATTGAAGATTCAAAATGCTTTTTTAAAATCAGTTTGGCTGCTTTATTTGTATCTTTTAGAGAGAACTTGAAATCTAAATGCATGAAAAAGATCTGTCTCAATCATTCAGGGCTTTACGTCTTAGCATACACATCACTCATGGAACAGAAACATATTTCTATGCAATTATTGAATATGATTAAAGAGTTATCATGAGCAATGCATGAAATCCACAAATAACTTTGTTTCTTATGGACTGAAATATGTATTGCTCAACCGTTGTGTGAGGCAATAGGAGATAACTCAACTGTTGATCCAGTAAATATAAATGGAAAACTGTATCTTCACCAATCTAACTTTAAATATCATTACACGCATATAACCTATTTATTTTTATTTAAATGATATACATGTTATTATATCACATTATTATTTTGTCTTATTAATGTATATCAATCAAGATTATACAAATTGTAAAGATTTAACATGGAGAAGCTTGATTGAATGTGAAAGTAAATTTTAGATTTATTTACAAATTTTGATTTAATCTCTTGTTTCTTTGATATTTCTCTTAACATTATTTTGCCATGTATTTTTATTTAAAAAATACAACCTCCTACATAAATGTGTTTTTCAAAACAATAGTAGATTATATACTCCCATTGTAATTTCTCTCATCTAGAAATAGAAAAACTAAGTCAAAAGAAATTACATGTTTAGTAGCTTCTCAAGAAGGATTTTCCTGCATGATTTTGTTGCTGTCCATGTTTTGTCACACTCTGTTAGTGCCTGTATTGTCCTGGCCCCAAAATGTCTTAGTTTTGAAACTTTCTCATTTGTGTTTCCCCTTTATTGTCGATGTTTACCAAACTTTGCTTTATATTTCCCACTATAACATGCACCCTGCTTTTTTTTTCCTTTTTGCGGTGTTGCTCTTTCACTATTTTTCTTGCACTGCCTGTCTACTGGTGTACATGGTTGCTATAGAAACCAGAAGGTTCTCCCAGCGTTCAAAGAGCAAGAAAGCTTTTTGAGAGAGAAGCAGAAAAAGAAGCAGTCTCGGCGGCTCAACTCACCCCAAAGCTTGGGGGCAACCGCACACCCAAGACTGCAAAGGTGAGGGGCTGCTCTAAATTCAAGCCAGTCATATATTGCTGTCTTGCAAGTACTTGCAGCTATAATCTTTGATTTGATAAAAAATATCAGAATTCACATTTTTGCATTTGGATTCTAACTATATTGTTTTAATTGTTTTCATACTTTTTTTTTTTAAAGAAAAAATGTTGACCAGCCATATAGATCAAACATAAAATATGTGCAGTGCATGTTCATCTGTGCTTAGCAAAGGTGTTTCAATCGTATGCATTTCTCAAACCAGATTTGCAAATGTAGAATGAATATCTTCTGAATGAAGCAACCGAAAATATTATCTTATCCCACTGCCTAAAATGGTATGTTTTTACAAATGTTCGCTCTGTTTGTTTTATTTTTATAGCACTTCGCTCATTGCTCAATTTAGACAACAGTTCTATAATTATGAAGACAGTAATATTATACACTCTAAGTATTATATTTTTATTGGTAAATATGTAGTTTGAAAGTATATGTAGCACATTCTTACTGATATCTATTTGTGGGGATGAGCGAGAACGAGAGACGTGCAGAGGGAGGGAGAGAGGGAAAGAGAGGGATAAGAGAAAAGGGGAAGAGAGAGAGAGAGAGAGAGAGAGAGAGAGAGAGAGAGAGAGAGAGAGAGTGAGAGAGAGAGAGAAAGAAAGAGCGAGGGGTGAATTAATGGTCATGTACAGTGTGACTCATATGATAAGTTATAGTGATAAGTCATCTCTTTTGAAATCCTCACCTTCAAATACATCAATAGATAATACAAAAAGCGAAAAGAAAAGATTCATATTTCATAGGTGTCACAAGTATGAATATCAAGGTTTTAGGCTCGGGCCAAATCACGGAAAGGCCAAGGTTAATGATTTGGGTCAGTATCTTTGTTAAACATCTCAAAATCAAAGTGTAAAATCAAAGTGTGAATTCAAAGCGATACTAGCAGAGTGGTATTTAAATCTTTTCCAGATTATGTATCAACACTTTGGAAGTGTTGTCAGTGGGGAACAAAATCTTGAGAATTTGATCCTTGTCACTCACAAGACACATGACAGTGTTTGGAGAAGGCTCGACTTGGCAGATGGTGCGAAGATAGAAATACTACTACCTGCTCTCGACACTCGGAGTAATTGTGTTCACAAATTTATTGACTGATCTAGATTATAGTGAGATTTGGGGAAGAAGACGGGTAAATTGCAGAATGAGAAAGAGAGAGAGAGAGAGTTTAATCCTACGAGATGAAGTTTGACACTTGACAGATGGAGCGAGAAAAGAAAGAATGAGAATAATACAAATTCACTAATTGTTGTTTTGTGAATTAAAAATTGTTAATATTTAATCTTTTCGGGGAGAAGATGTGTTTAAGAGTTGAACCCCCTTCTGGTTCCAAACGGATGATCATTTATCGTTTATGAAAATGAGTTACAATTTGTACATTCCATGTTTTATTATCATTCTTGCATTAGTTTCCTTCCTTAGTTTGCCTCTGATATTGAAGCAATTCGGTTAAAATTTTATTAGAGTTCAAATGTAATATTGCAAAAGGGGAGTACACAATATAGGATGGCCGGTGTTATACAGATTTCATGGATTTATTAGATTCCAGCAAGTTATTGTAATTTTGTTCACATTGTATTTGTCTAAACAACACCATTATATATATGAGTAACTATTTACAGTATATTCAGTGATTCAAAGTAAATTTCAATTACTTATAATATTAGCACACATTTCGATTTAAAAGAAATCCTTATTCTATTTATCAAGATTACTTTAAAACCAGATAACTCAAGATCACCTATAATGACACATGTTAATTTTTTCAAATGACACTTCCAAATCATCCATAAAATGATTTGTTTCAATTTCTTATTCTTGGTCTAGTTTAAAACCGGCAAAGATGGGTTTCAGTTTCTTGGGTTTAAATGTAAGTGCTACACATATGTAGGACATTAAGATATCATATGACGTAAAGTAGTACAAGTATATGATATGTAGGCTTACCTAAAGTGAATAATGTACACTTTTCTTGAATGGTGTTAAGTTATATGTACTTGCAGTATAGGTATGATTTCTGCTATACCTCTCTACATAAGAAATAGCAATTCAAGTTTTGATTTAAAGAAATTACAAATTTTTAATCATTAGTGGCTAGTGTGTAAAATGTGTTATGTAGTATTATAAGAGAATAAGATAAAGATCTAGGCATGGGTGAATTCAAATTGTCCTTGTATGTAATCTTGTTGTTCAAGCAATTCATAATTCATTATTTAGTGATTATCAGTTTCATTGGTTTCATTCTTTGACAAGTAAGGGTTTTAGATACTCTCTGAATTAGTAATGGGGAATTATGCTTGAGAATTAAAGTATTTAGTTTCATATTAATATTGATTAATGACCCTCATTAGAACATATTATTACCAATGATTATTGTGCAATGATGATTTTAATGCACTATATGGCCTTTGTCGGTATCGTTGATGTGCATGCACAAACATGTTTGTAGAATTTATTTTACTTACCGTATATAAAGTAGAAACAACAGAGGACTAAGTTTGTTAAATATGGCATGCTTTTTGCCTGAAGAGAACACTGATGGATATCTCGAAAGGACATTCTCTGTGGATGATTATGATAGACCAAAGCATGCCGACTATATTAACAACAATGATGAGAACTATTATGATAATGATGATGATGATGAGCTATTTGAAGTGAGTAAAACATAATGATTTAGTGATTTAGCTATTTTAAAATGCATGGAACCACAAGCTCATTGGTTTAACCGTATGACATCTACCTATTGATATCATTATTAGTGGGTTTTTAAAATGCCATTCCAATGTAAACTATATGACCATGAATGAAAATGTAGAAGTTAAAATAATTGGAATGAGAGATTACAGAAATCTGTCATTAGCCATTATCATCTTGTTTAGAAAAGTTTTTAATGATCTTATTTGACATCATCTCTGGTTTTCCTCCACAGAAACTTGTACAAAATGGAGTTTCTCCAGCACATCACCATGACGATGAAGAGCACAATATGATTGGATCAGTGAGTATTCTTTTTTATATTTCAGTTTGGGAACATACTAATTAATTGAGGATATTATAGTTCATTTCATGTTTTATATTTGAATTGTGATTGAAGAAAAAAATTGCACTGTCTTTTTACAGGATAGTACCATTCCATCAGAAAATCATCAGAATCCTTTGAGAATTATTGCATTAAAGGATAAGAAATAGCAATCCTTTCACAGATTATTTCAATGAAAATATTGTATTTGGTCATGTATATCAGTAACATCAACATGTGTTTAAGATCACTGTGTAAAAATGTTTTGAGATGTTTTGAGAATGATGAAGAATGTCACCTTTTCCCCCTTCATTTAAGGTGAGGTTGTCAACATGCAGAAGTCTCAATTTGACATTTTTCATTATAAAAAGATGAATAAAAGGTTGATTTTTTTCCTTGATCTATAAAAGCTTTATGTATGTGGCCCACAATCTCATAATTCCAGAAAGAATACCGAATAAAGTCTGATAAATGTCCCTTAATTCTTATCAGAATTGAGATTGCAATTGAGTGTGTAATGACTAATTTTGGTCTTTGTAATTCTGTGAAAAATGTTGAATTGCATTGTTGAGAATGTGACTCTTGCTGCGCTCTAGGTTAAATGGTAATAACTTGATTGTGGATAAGAAGTTAATTTCCCCGGAATGTTTGCCCGTCCTGCTTTCATCTGCCGCTGTTGTGATCCTCATAAACATATTAATTCTGCACAATTTGTGCAATATAAACTTTTGTGATTCTTTAGGACCCGCATGCCAATTGCCCCACTTATCTTTCATGTGGGTTTTAACTTTTTGTGAGAAGTCATTATCGAGCCGGCCCTAGTCGTGTATTGGATGTGCTTGTTAAATAAAATTTGATGACTTTAGAGCTCTGTTGAAACGTGCTGCGAGGATCTTATTTTTGTGAGAACTCGCCAACATTAAAATCCATCAATGTACCAGTTGGGTGGTATCATTTGCAGCATGGTAGTCAATCCTGGCATGTTTCTTTCTTCAAACAAAATATATCCAACAAGTCATCAGCTTCTAATGTCACTCCAAAGGCTCATAAATTATCCCCATGTGATCAATTGCCCATTATACAAGCTACCCTAACTTTTTTATCCTTGGCGACAAACTGAAAGTAAAGAATAAAAATTAAAGAAAGAAGAGAGCCTCATGTGATCATCAATAACATCAAACTCTCTTTCTTTCTGTTTCATTCTTTATGTAGGGATTATCGGAAGCCATTTCCATTGTATCATTTGATTTGATTTTTTTAATGCTCACTCTGAAATTGAATGAGCTTCTTTTGCAAGGTTTGCCTTTTGTCCAGTCAACAGTATTTCAGAAATTCAGCAACGTACCGTGACAAAACATGGGTTATCACAGCAGAGACGCAACTATTTTAGTTTGGAATGCAATGTAGAGAGAGAGAGAGAGACGGTTCGAGCACGGCAGTCTTCTTTTAGGATATAATTTGTTGTACTAGATTTGAATGAAAAGATTAGAGTGTCTGCCTGGCCTGAAGCCGACCGGTTATCCCGATTCACAGCTACCTTCATCTCCCTTAAGCTAGATTTAGATTTACATCTGTCCGACATTTTTCATCCCAAATTCCCCATTTGTATGAAGCCTGACGTTCATTTATCACTGGTAGCCCCCGAAAGAGAAGGCATAAAAGACAGGAACGGGGAGATGCTCCCGGGGTAGTGCGGGACCTATTCACTGTCACAATAGACACCTGTGTTCGTCTTTTGAATCCTAAGTGACAAGTTGAACATGTATTACGTGTGATTGATGAGATTGCGCTTCTCTTGTCTATAGATTGGGGGTTGTTTGGTGGCGTCTATTGTTCCTAGGTTAATGCTGGCTATGTTTGAACCGTTGTACCATCGGGTCAACAAACCTGTCGAGATCTTTGCTCTATCGTTTGGTGGTCTTTGTCGTTAAGGATTTATTAACATCACATAGATAATCGACTCATCCCATACAGGAAAGATTTCGTTTACTTGATCATGGAAACAAAAAAAGACCACAGGGCATTCATACCTCCTGTATTGGTCCTCTTAGAGGTTAACCATGTGATATATTTGATATTTGTAGCTAAAAAATTAAAAGGAAATCAGAATTTGCATAAGGTTTGTAATTAATTATTCCCTCTTTTGCTCTACATGGTACGTTAGAATCAAGGTTTATTTAATGTACTTTGAACCAAGGAATTTTTATTTACTGTTATACTTATTTTAATCTTGTGATATTAAGCCCTAACAATCATTCAAATCCCAGCTAAAACTTTTTAATGGCTTAAAGAGTCTTAAAAAGATTCAGCATTCAAGTTAATCAGTTATTATTTTTTATAGTAATGATATTATTACTATCTTCATGACTATTCTAATGAGAATTCTAATTTCAGTAATATATTGAATCTGAAATAGCTGAAAATAGATGACTTATGCAAGAGCATTTAAAGTATGAGTGGGTTGGAGTTGTTTACAAGAGTTAATTACAGATTAAGACTAACCCTATTGATATAATTCTCTCTTTCACTCATAGCAGAAATCGTCGTCCTTCTTTTTTGTTTGAAAACAAGAAAAAGAAATGGAAAAGAAATCTTTTCTTATTCTAGACAGCATTTGAAGTGTAGGGGGATGGAGAGGTTAGAAACTTGTTTTTCGGCCACCAATCCACCAGACATCCGCTTAAACACCAGAGAGAACAAAATGATGTTTTGTCAAGACTGATCCCCCTCTGAATTAAAGATCTCGTGAGAGGTTTTTAAAATTTTGAAAAAAAAGAGAGATAAATGTAGAGAGAAAGAGAGTGGGTTGGGTCCCTTTTCTCTCTTTCATTAATGCTGAAATGGAAATCCACTTGAGAGGTTTTGTATGTCATCTGTTTAGTCCCATCTATAGAGGATTGAGTCCTTATGTCCAACATGGAGTGATAATCTCTCTTTTGAGATCAATCAAATGAAAACCTCATCTCAGGGTCTCAGCTCGTCAAACTGAAAGTCACATGACCAGCTAGTTTAAAGTGGATTACAGCCGACCATTAGAGGTCCACTGAGGATTCCGTCAAGCACAGCTTTTAAAAGAAAATGCCTATTTTTTCACCAATCATCATTCTGAATGCAAGGTCAATTTGATGTCGGTGATTAGTATTAAATCCTGTTAACATTTTTGGGCATTTTTATGCCTCCGCCACCGAAGGTGGTGCCGGAGGCATCATGTTTTCGGGTTGTCCGTCCGTACGTCCGTACGTCCGTACGTCCGTCCGTCCGTCCGTACGTCCGTCCGTACGTCCGTACGTCCGTCCCGTTTGACCGTTATCACAATATCTCAAGAACCATTTAAGATTTAAACTTAAGACTCGGGAATAGTATTTATCACCATAGGAAGACGATCTGATTAGATTTTGGAGTACGTAGGTCAAAGGTCACAGGTCACAGAGGTCAACTTATGAAATTCCTTGTATTGAGTTTGTTAGCGCGATATCTCAAGAACCGTTTGAGATTTAAACTTCTAACTTAAGGATAGTATGTATCACCATAGGAAGACGATCTGATTAGATTTTGGAGCACGTATGTCAAAGGTCAAGGGTCACAGAGGTCAACTTATGAAATTCCATACATTGAGATTGTTATCATGATATCTCAAGAACCACTGGAGATTTAAACTTCAAACTTAGTGATGGTGTGTATCACTATAGGAAAACAATCTGATTACATTTTGGAGCACGTAGGTCAAAGGTCAAGGGTCATAGAGGTCAACTTATGAAATTCCATACATTGAGATTGTTATCATGATATCTCAAGAACCACTGGAGATGTAAAAACTTCAAACTTAAGGATAGTATGTATCACCATAGGAAGACGATCTGATTAGATTTTGGAGCACGTAGGTCAAAGGTCAAGGGTCACAGAGGTCAACTTATGAAACTCCATACATTGAGATTGTTATCATAATATCTCAAGAACCACTGGAGATTTAAACTTCAAACTTAATGATAGTGTGTATCACCATAGGAAGACAATCTGATTAGATTTTGGAGCACGTAGGTCAAAGATCAAGGGTCACAGAGGTCAACTTATGAAATTCCATACATTGAGATCGTTATCGCGATATCTCAAGAACCACTGGAGAATTTTCACTTCAAACTTAATGATAGTATGTATCACCATATCATAATATCTCAAGAACCACTGGAGATTTAAACTTCAAACTTAATGATAGTGTGTATCACCATAGGAAGACAATCTGATTAGATTTTGGAGCACGTAGGTCAAAGGTCAAGGGTCACAGAGGTCAACTTATGAAATTCCATACATTGAGATTGTTATCATGATATCTCAAGAACCACTGGAGATTTAAACTCCAAACTTGTTTAAATTGCTCTATGGCGGAGGCATCATTTTCGACTGCGCGCAGTCAAAATTCCATCTAGTTAGACATGTTTTGCTGTGTTAGGTCATTGACCACTTTATCACAATCTTTTCAGACAAATCTTGAATTCCTAAAATATTTTCTATATTTTTCTTGTACATGAATGTATGTAAAGATATTGTTTTCAGTGAGAGAATCCCTTCTTTTTTCGATTTTCATTTTTACATCATAGTCATAGTATGGAAAAAATGAAGAGTTTTCCATATTCTCAAATATGGTAGCTTCTAGCATTATGTGAGTAGTTTGTTGTGAAATTAGTATTCCTGTCATCTTTTTTCCAAAATGTAATCGTCCACCCTCCAACACCTCCAGTCAAAACTCTTCTTCGGAGTATTTAGGAGGAAAAGAATCCAAGATCCAGATCCCAACACCCGATCGACACATTACTCTACAAAACTGGTTTGCCCTACACTGAATGGCCAAGAATTGGTCACCTTAAATGGGTCGGCAGTTTGACTCGTGTATTACTCCTCTAAATATCTTAACTTTTATTTTATAATGGTGCTTTGAAACTTTTCCTGCAGTTATTCGTTCATGGTGTATTATCGATTATAAA